CTTTTCAAATGTGTTGCTCACAAATAAACTGTAAAAATATATGAACGCGAAAATTCTTTCCAGGGGTCTCGATCACAAGCTTCTGTTCACATTCATTTCGTGGCTTTCCCAGAGTTGCTTAAAGGAAGTGGTCACGGAAATTCCTATGGAGACGATAGGGAAAGTGACATAGTGGATTGGGTAGGGGTCCTACCCAATGGGACGACAGGTGACGCTTCAGGGGCAGTGGCGCCTTATCAACGGCGTGATAAGGCGCCGAAACCCACTTCCGGTTCGGCGTTGCACCTCCTATCAGACGTGGAAAGGGATGCAACAGCAGCGTGCTAGATATGATACGGTTATCGTTATCGTTCGATTTTCATGCTGGAGTGCACCTCATTCTTACGATAAACAGCCGTATCTCTTATCTAATCGTGTCACGTCCATAGATTATTGCTCGTCCACCATTGTAACCTTCGACGCTGTATCGGTTGATAGATGCGGAATTCGCCGATCCACGTGGACAGCGCAGCTGTGACTCGCTTCGCTTTAAGAACATTCACGCCGATGGCTATATGGGCTGCTAACAACATGTGCTTCTGGGGCGATGGCAGCCCATATGGGCTGCCAGCCGATAACTGCTTGCCAGGCGCTAGGAATGGACAGATAGGTGGGTAAATCTCGTAGTCGGGTGAGCAATTGGATACATAATCTACCGGGAAGCGATTAAATGCTCTGCCCTTGCTCCTTTCTAGCAAATCCACGGCCGCTCAGAAAAGTATGCAGTGGATCTTAGCTTCATGATCCGCGCACGTGGGTCTATAACGTGCGGAAAAATGTTTTGAGAAAGTCCTTTACGTCCTTAACGACTTTACTGGTCAACCATGGTGAACGGTCTCTTGGGCAATGTTCAGCAAGGAGAGAGTCGCTTCTGTGATTCTAAAAAGAGATTCATATTTGCTGAAATGAACATGTATTCGTGAAAGCGAAAATTTCTTCGGAAGTGGAACAGGTTTTAAGAAGTTTTTCACAACAACCCTCTCCACTCCGGTGTTCTGTCTCTGGTCGATGAACATTTTATAGATGGAAGTGTGCCAGGTAGAACCAAGTTGAACTACATCAAAATAAGCCTTTCAGCAAGGGGTGCTTACGAATACCTTCTCTCGAGGGATCTGGGAAGTCGCGCTTACCCCGAAATTTGCCCAGCCAATGAGCGACACAACTTGAACGTCTCTGAGCAAAGGACCATTGAAAGAGCCAGGTAATTCCTTAACTAACCTCAACCTCACCATAGCTCACGCGAGCCTTACAAACAACTAGTGCCCTATTTATCTGATAGTGAGCGCTAAATGCTTCCAACATGAGAAATACGTGTAAGAAACAACCTAAAACTGCGTGTAGCCGGACCAAGGAAGTCGGCTCAGCTTTCGTAGCCTTGTACACCATAGATCATCCTTTTCCGCAAGGGTCACTTATCGTAGGATCTGGCGACAAATGACCGTCAGGGGTCCAGCATCGTGCGGGTCCGCGGGAGAACACTTGGTAATGGAGAGTGTGAGAGACGGACAGCTCCTGGGCTGAGATGTGGCAGAGAGGCAGTGTCCATTTGTCACAACTCATCTTCACGAGTGGTCACGAGTCATTTCATTGATTGTCATACTAGTTATTTTGCTCAGTATTGGTTACCCGCATGTGAATAACTACATAAGGACTACCCAATCTCACTATTACAATTAGTTGGAAGCGGTGTTTTCAGACTGCAACCAATCGATGCATTCCTTCGTAGGCTCGTTCTATCCTATTAACTACGCTCTGGGATTTTCCCACTTTACTACAATTAGTCTTACTTTACCGACTTTTCATCAACTTCAGAAGTCTTAGTTCATGTATCCTGTTCCGAAGTCAGATTTCTAGTTTTCTCTGGTTGAACTGAACTCTTAACAGCACAAAGGGTGCTGGCTTTTCGGTATTCTCCGCGCTTATTTTGCGCAGACATGGTCGTACGGAGGTACGGACACATTTAGCATAGGCATTAAGAAAACGGACTAAGGAATGAACCGTTCTTGTTCTTATATACTGACCTCAACTTTGTTGAACCCATTTGTGATATTGCGTTTTGTTTTCCTGTCTCGCTGTCTTTATTTTCTTAGCCTAGGACTAAAGTCTTGAAGAGGGCGCTCGTGTCGTTAAGGGACGCTTTTAGCGGTTAAGATCCGAAGTACTTGCAAACTAGAAACGCCTAGCCAATTATTAATAAGAACAATTCGAATAAGTTAGGCACTTGTAAGCGCTGAAGCTGGCCCTGCCAATGGCAATGTGAGCCTGCCTTACATACCTCGCGCACATAGCCAGAGATGAATACTGGATCGTTATTCATCCAGAAACACCTACTGCAAACGCTGATTGATACCGGAATGTCTGGAATCTTCGAGGCTTGGTCTTTCATGCCTAAAACAATACTACAGGGGTGGCCAAAAAAAGAGACACTTTGCCCATGGCGCACATCATCGAACTTTTCGTCGCACAGGGTGCCGATGTTAATGAAAGTTTTACGGCGAAATATTCCTTAGGTGTTCCCCCGTAAACAGAAGCAGGCCCTCCTTCACTGCCCGCCGTCTTCAGAATATGACGTCATCTGCCGCCACCGTCGAGCTCAACGAGGCTTACCGTAATCGCTCCGACCTGAAGCTGCTACATAATTTCTTCAATGGATTAACTGTTGAATAGCTTCCCAGAGACATTAGCTGTGACTATGCAAAACCGCTTTTGACCAGCGTTTCAGGGACGTCGTAATGGTCTATGGTACCTCGACGACCCCGTTGAGCTCGTATCGCGAACCATGTTTCCGTGGGAAAATCTTCTGATGTCGTCGGTGTAGAAGGCTGTCATGTAAGGTTTAGATAGATTAGAAGGTGCCCTTAAATACTTAATTGGGGGCAGTCGATTTCATATTACCAAAAAGTGATTAATGCTGTCTGAAATGTGGAGCCAAGTGTCTCTTTTCTTTTGGCCACCCCTG